AATCAGCCACAGAAGAGTGAATATCCACATCAATACTATCATCCAAAAGCCAATCAGACAGGATACCCCCCTTATCAATCCAGGGGTGGGTCCAAAATGCTGTTGTAAGATCATTTCTCACACTCCAGATAGTTGCACTTCTCATGAGGGACATAGCTATAACAACAGCCCTCCAAAGATTGGAGTGGTTACTTTTCTTCATAAAGATGATATCCTCATCACGATGGTTAAAGTACTTCCCTTGTAGTACTTTCACCCATAAATCAGACTCGTTGTTCAACATTTGCTAAACAATTTTCACCATAAAGCAGTGTTAAGAGACCTAGCCATTTTTAAACCCAAACCTCCTTGCTCCTTAGGTTTGCAAATGGTATCCCAAGCAACCAGATGCGTTTTATTTTCCCGACATGGGAGCCCCAGACAAATTCCCTAATCTTCCTGTCTATTTCATCACAAACAGAAGCAGGCAGAGGAGAGGTTTGCATGGCAAAGGATGGGATAACACTAAGCACAGCTGTCGCTAAAGTGACCCTACCCGCAAGAGACAAAGTCTTTGTTTTCCAAGCATAGAGCTTACCGTCAATTTTTTCAAGGATATACTTATAAGTGAATCTAGTAAGCCTACCATGGAGCACGAGAACACCAAGGTATCTCCCAAGATCCATGGTAGCTTGAATCCCGAGGCAGCTACAGATATCGTTACAACAATTATTAAGCACACTCTTAGAGAAAAACACTCTCAACTTATCTTTACTAATTTGTTCACCAGATGCAACACAAAATCTCTCCATACATTTCATAACCAGATTGGCTTGTGAAAGATTATCTTCACCAAAATAAACCAAGTCGTCGACAAAGAACAACTGAGAAGGGGGGGGGGGAGGGGCTCCTTAGACAGTCTAATAGGTTTCCAGTTACAATCCAAGACCTCTCTATGAATGCAATGTCCTAATCGTTCAATGCACAAAGTAAAAAGGTAGGGCGATAAGGGATATCCCTGACGAAGTCCACGACTCGGTTTGAATACCTCTGTTGTGCCGCCATTCCAAAGAACAAGCAGTTCAGTTGATGTAACACACCCCATAATCAGACGGACTCCATCCTCCGGAATATGAGTAAGTCTCAGAGTTTCCTCAAGAAAGGTCCAGTCAATCCTGTCATATGCTTTGGCAAGGTCGACCTTGAGAAGCATCATCTTCTTCCTATTCGTTTTGAGGGACATTGTATGAACATTTTTCTGCAAAATCAGGATATTGTCAGTAATATGTCTCTTGGAAACAAAACTAGCTTGGTTGGGGTGTATAAAGTGGGGCATTAAACTTTTCAGCCTATTAGCAATGCATTTATCAACCACTTTATACCCCACATTACACAAGCTAATTGGTCTAAATTGAGGTATAGACACAGAAGAATCAATCTTAGGAATCAAGGCCAAAGAGGTCGTATTGACAGCTTTAATAAGATATGAATTCCTGAAATAAGAGATAATGTAGTTAGCAAAATCCAATCCTACAGTATCCCAAAGTTTTTGGTAAAAAATAGCATGAAAACCATCGGGACCCGGAGCTTTCAAGCCTCCCTTGCGCATAACAACACCCCTAATCTCCTCCACAGAAGGTTGAGATCCCAAAAATGCAAGCCTAGAAGCAACAACAATGGGAAAATCACCATCAATGGAAGGTAAGGGATCATGTTCCTCTTTGGTAAATAATTTCACAAAATACTCCCTTGCAAGCAGGGGTGCAAGTTTGACCCTAAAAAGTAAAAACCCATTGACCTATCCTGTCCCGTCCATGGGGTCGGGACGGGTCAGTTTGTCTATAGGGTCAATTCAGGGATGGATCAGCTTTTGACCCTATAAGGGTCAGGACGGGTCGGGACAACTTAGGGACGGGTCACTGTTTGATCCTGTGACCCTTAGCAACAACAAATATCCCATACCACATTGGACCTCTTTGTAAAAGTAAAAAAATTTGGGTACCAAATTGTAATTTTACCACCAAAATTTAAGGACTTATTTGTATAAAAATTAAACTTTAGGTACTAAATTGTAAGAAAAATAATTTTGGTACCAAAACGTAATCTGTAAAAAGGTAGTGTGTAAATTAGGGTCGACCCACTGACCCGACCCGTTCCATCCCTTGCGGGTCAGACAGGGTCAAGAAGGAGACATGCACGGGACATGACAGTTATACATCTTTACCCTTCAGGAACGGGACAGGGTCGGGTCAGGACAATTTTCAGCCCTACTTGCAAGAATAAGCAGCTCATCTGGACCATTGATCCAAAGGTCGTTCTCATCCTTGAGCTTGGTGATTCGATTCCTCTTCCTTCTAGTGAGGGTACTTGTGTGGAAGAAATTAGTATTTTTATCGCCTTGCACAACCCATTTAGCCCTTGACTTCTACCTCCACAAAAGTTCTTCTTGCCATAAGGTGAGTTCCAGCTCTTCTCTAGTGACTCTTTCTTGATTCAGCGAAACGAGTCTCTCGAAGGGTAGTTCTCATTAAAGGCCTCCAGCTTTCCAAGTTTGTCAAGAAGCTTCTTCTTCCTTCTAAAGATGTTACCAAAGACCTTCTTATTACACTCTTGGAGTTTACCCGTCAACTTCTGCAGACAAGGCATGAAACCAGAACCATAGTTCCAAGAAGAAGACACAAAATTACACAAATCATTGTGGGCAAGCCACATAGCAAGGAAATGAAACCTTCTCACCAGGGGAGTTTTGTTGAGTTGTTTCACATCCCTGACCAGAATAGGACAATGATCAGACTTGAGATTAGTGAGATGAAAGTTAGTCGTATCCGGGATCTCTGAATCCATTCAACATTGCAGAGACACCTGTCAAGCCTTTCCTTCAGTCCTGATTTCTTAGTTGCCCAAGTGAATTTAAGGCCAATGAACCCTATATCCACCAATCCACAATCCTTGATACAATCATTAAATGCCTTCACTAGAGAGGGGTTGAAAGCAGCTCCTCCCTGTTTCTCAGACGGATGCGAAATAGAGTTGAAATCACCCAGGAGCATCCAAGGTTTCTCCATACTCCTAGCAATGCTCCTAATTGAAGACCAGAGAGCACCTCTTTCATATTCGTTTAGACGGGCGTAGTCGCATAGACAGCAGTCAAGAATCCATTTTCCTTGCCAACAACCTGATAAGAGAGGTGGATGAATTGCCTGTCCTTGTCCTCCAACTTCAGCTGCACATAGTTGCTCTCCTACGGGACCCAGATACCGCCTCTGAAGCCCAGTGCATCCGCCACTTCTCACCTGCCATACCCGAGAGTTTTGATCACCTCAATGGCTTTGTCGCCACTTATGCGAGGCTTAAGGATGCAGACTACTCTAGGTGAATTCTCAGCTTTGTACAAATCAGAGGTAGACTTGAAATTTGGATGCTTAGGGCCCGTTTAGTATCATTTTGTTGCTGTTGTGGTTGCAGTGGTGTTGTGTAAACAGATGTACAACCACAACAGTAAAAAAACAGAAAACACAAACCTGTTTAGTTGATAAATCTGAAAAATCATGAAAGCTGAAAACAAGAAACAAAACGCGTTTAGTTACTATTATAAGAACTAAAAACCAGAAAAAAAGAGGGGAGTCCGAGTGGCAGCGGCGCTGGGCGGGCCAGGCTGTTGAGCAGTGGAGGCGCGGCGGCGGCTGTTGAGCAGGGGAGGGGAGGTCGCGGCGACGGCTGTTGAGCAGGGGAGGCGCGGAGGCGGAGGGTTGGAGGGCGAAGGCGGCCGGTCGGGAGGCGCGGAGGGCGGAGGTGGTCGGGGTTTATGGCTGGAATGGGGAGAAGGCGTCGGCGTGTATGGCTGGAGGGGAAGAGCGGCGCCTGTGTTCGAGAGAAAATGGAGAGGTTGGGGGCAGCTGAAGTAAGTAGGGTTTGGGGGTGGTGTTAAAAAAAAAAGAAATTTTTTTGCTTCTATGGGGATTTGAAAACTGGTCTGTTTTAATGAAATTAAGCGCCCAACCAGTCGAAATCCCGTGTGCAACATGTTTAAGAATAAGATCCAAAGCTATAAATTGTTGTTTCTCATATTTGTGCCTTGTTGTGCAACTCTGATTCACAACAAAAAATAAAAACCCAACTAAACACGATTTTTTTCTTGATTTTCCAAATTTCTTAAAACATAACAGGAAATAAAAACAAGCAACAATACTAAACGGGCCCTTAGCACCCCTACAATTCCAGGAAAGCACTATAACCATAACAAGATGATGAGTCTTCCCACAGTCGACCAACAGGTCCATAAATCAATCCAAATCGACGGCCATAGCCGTCTCATCTAATGAAATCTCCTTAGCAAGAGTCTTCACAGATGATGGACCTTGAGCATTTTCAGTTCCGCTCATGTATGATTCAGTTTGGTAGTCGTCCGGTCTGATTCACGAGCAATTAGCTGGTGGCGCAGTGCTTTGAACCAATTTTGATCAAAGAAGAAATGGAGACGATAGAAAAGAAAAGAGAACAGATGGAGGAGGAGCAGAAGAGGAGGTGGAGATCTGACAGAGAATAACAAAAATAAATTAAAGGGGAAAGAAGGAAGAATGAGACGGAACGGAGAGGCAGAGTCATTAGTCAAGCGCAAGCAGAAGGAACAGTGTGGTTAACAGCAAAGCGTCTGCCAATCCTGCTTCCCTCCCAATCCTTCCTTGAATCAAATTTATTAAAGTAATCCCCCACCATTAATTACAATAATTAAATCAAACCCCCAAATTAATCCCAGCATAAATAATTAAATATCCACTTTTCCTCCGAATTTAAATCTCTCTACTTCTTCTTCTTCCTCAAACACAACCGCACCCACACTCTTTTTTAATTTTAACCACTCGCAGTAAGTCCAAAATTGTAAAATAAAACAAAAACAAAAAAATCGACACATAAAGGACAACCCTCACTTGCCCTCCCCGATCCCTCTCTCACTAAATAAATAATACCCAAAAAACATTAATAAACCACAATTTAATTTAATTTAATAAAAAACTAATATTCCCAAAAAGTCGAGCTGCTTCAGCTCTCTCCCTGGGTTTATATCACTAAACTGTTTCTCAGCTCTAATTTCCTTTCATCTCTAATTACAGACAGATTTCTTATTTAATATAATTCCCCATTCTCATCTCTCTCTCACTTCGTTTCATATCCCAAACAGCAGCATCAGAGTAAAAGAGGGAGATATAGAGCGCTAGAGAGAGAAGGAAGGAAGGAAGGACGCAGAAGGCGAAGAAAGGAAGAAGAAGACGACAAGCACCACTTCACAGAAACCAACAGGAAGGCAGCTCTTCCTTCTTCCATTCTCAAACTGCGTTGGCAATTTTTTTTTTTTTTTTTTTTTTTTTGTGTGGATCTACTGCCGCATTTGGATGTGAGGGCGATAAAAAAGGCGCGGGAGGAGGAGGAGGAGAAGCAGCTAGAAAACTAAACTTCGATCAGATCGGTAGATGGCGGACGCTTCCGGCGAAGGCGCGGACCTTAACGGCGGTACTCCTACTCCTGCTGCTTCTGTCTTTACTGCCGCGAATGCTGGTGGAACGCCGACCTCGACGGCACCGCCACTGGCGCCGCCGCTAACGGTGTCAGGATCCTTCAAGGAAGGGCCGAGGAGCTCGTCGAGGAGGAGGACGGCCGCCGTCAGGAAGAGCTTCGACGCCGATAACGAGTTCATGACCTTGCTTCACGGCTCGGATCCGGTCAAGGTCGAGCTCAATCGGCTCGAGAACGAAGTTAGAGGTGCGAAATGTGGTTGGATCTAGTCTTTTTCTCAGCTGATTTTTTTCCCACTCCGCTTCCGCCGCTGCTGCTCTCCCTTCTGGATTTCATCTCTTCGTGTCCTCCGCTAATTTTGCGCGATTTTTTTGTTTGTTTGGAATACTCAGTGAAAGCGTAATTAACAATTTTCTTTTGCTTTTTTGGTCCCTTTCCTTTTCTCTTTTTGGTGTTTATGTTTCCAGATAAGGACAGAGAGCTGAGCGAAGCTCAAGCGGAGATCAAGGCCTTGAGGCTATCGGAGCGACTTCGAGAAAAGGCCGTTGAAGAGGTCTTCCACTTCCCCTTTCCGTCAATTACTTGCTCTGTTTGTTCCTCGTTCTTCTTGGTTTCAAGCAACTTCCGCTCAGCTTAGCTGTACTTGTTCGTCTTTTCATTACACGTTTGAGCTTCTTATCGTGTGTGCCCCTACTAGCAATCCCGAATTAGCTTGCAAGACATTCTTGATGGATTGATTCTCAAGGGATTGACACATATGACGTGATCTATTACATGAAAATGTAGATCGTTTTTAGTGGTGTTTGGAAATGGATATTTTGGCTGATATTGTCTCATCTGATTTCCTGAACCAGTACAAGTAGAATTGAGCATGGTTGCTCATAGTTGCTGTGGTTTAGTCCCTTAATATCGGTGCAGAAGTTCTAAGGAAGGTTGAATTGTCTTTTACAAATCAATTTCATGAGTGATTTGAGTAGCATTCAGTCACAACAGTCACTCATTTGCTGGGCGGTTTGTGCTGATTTTGCATTTCATGATTTGAATGTGCTTTTCACATTGTTGCATCACTATGCATAAACTGTTTTATTGTAACCCCTCTTGGCCGAAAATAGAAACTCCCGTTATTGAGTAAAGGAATTCCATTAGGGTATGTGTTACCAGATTTTGCACATAATTGGTTGAGTAGCGGTAACTTTCGTATTCTGATTTTATTATTTAAGTATTGTCATGTCGAACATCTTGATTCTGATTTTTGATTCTGCTTTCCCTGCTTCCTTTATTCCCCAGCTCACTGATGAACTCTCAAAGGTGGATGGAAAGCTGAAATTGACCGAATCTCTTCTAGAAAGCAAGGTATTGCTTGGAATTGTTTTTTCATGTATTGTGCGTCTTCATTATCTCCTGTGCCGCCATAATTCTCTAACTGCTTGAATGAAATCCATGTGCAGAATCTGGAAATTAAGAAGATCAATGACGAGAAGAAAGCTTCCATGGCTGCTCAGTTTGCAGCTGAAGCTACTCTTAGAAGAGTTCATGCTGCTCAAAAGGATGATGATATGCCTCCAATCGAGGCTATTCTTGCTCCTCTGGAGGCTGAGCTTAAGCTTGCTCGCCAAGAGGTCGGCTTTTATCCACTTCATTATTTTTGGAACTGAAACATGTTACTGAATGTTTCACTGACTTGGTCAGTTTATTGTTGCTAACAGATTGCTAAACTTCAAGATGATAACAAAGCATTGGATCGTCTAACCAAATCTAAAGAAGCTGCATTGCTTGAAGCTGAGAGGACTGTTCAGGTTGCCATGGCTAAGGCCTCCATGGTGGATGATCTCCAGAATAAGAATCAGGAATTGATGAAGCAGATAGAAATTTGTCAGGTATTTCTTATGATCATCTCCATGCTGGAACTTTGGTGTTTGATACTCGGTTTTGTTGGTATTCCCACCTGTGCACTGATATGTACACTTCTCCTGTATCTTAGGAAGAGAATAAGATTCTTGACAAAATGCATAGGCAAAAGGTTGCTGAGGTCGAAAAACTCACACAAACTGTAAGGGAACTGGAAGAGGCAGTGCTTGCTGGTGGTGCTGCAGCCAATGCTGTGAGGGATTATCAGCGGAAAGTTCAAGAGATGAATGTAACATGGATTTCTGCTCTCCATTTAATTTTCACTAGATGGCTTCTGGTAGCATCTTGTTCGAGCATCCTGGAATATATAATATGTGCTAATGTGTTGTAGGAGGAAAGGAAAACCTTAGATCGGGAACTGGCTCGAGCAAAGGTAACTGCAAACAGAGTGGCAACAGTAGTAGCAAATGAATGGAAAGATGCTAACGACAAAGTGATGCCTGTAAAACAATGGCTTGAAGAGCGGAGATTTTTGCAGGTTATTATTGAGTTTCCTTTGCTTGCTTCCAGTGTTGGATCTTTCATTAGCGTTATTGCACTAGGGTTATGAAGCTCTTCCATCTCTATAGTAATAATAAGTTGATCAACCCTGTTGTTACAGGGGGAGATGCAGCAACTCCGCGACAAACTCAACATAGCTGAACGAACTGCAAAATCTGAAGCACAGTTGAAAGTATAGCCATAACTTCTACCGACTTTGCCTCATTAACCCTTTTAATTTGATTATGCTGTAAGTAACATATTCTCTGTGATTTCAGGAGAAATATCAGTTGCGGCTCAAAGTTCTGGAAGAAACCTTGAGAGGATCTTCAAGTAGTAGTAGTAGTAGTCGCAGTGCATCAGATGGAAGGAGTACAAGTAATGGGCCATCTCGGCGCCAATCCTTGGGCGGAGCTGATAACCTCTCGAAATATGGATCCAATGGCTTTCTCCCGAAGAGATCGCCATCATCCCAGAGAGCTTTGTCTTCTAGTACCAGCGCTGTGCTGAAGCATGCTAAAGGAACATCCAAATCATTTGACGGCGGCACGAGGTCACTGGACAGGGGTAGCAAAGCTCTCCTCAATGGAGGTAGTCCTAATTGTTCATTCAACCAGCCCACAGATGTTCCCAAGGTTACAGAATCTTCAGATACTTGGAAAGGAAACCCAGATGAGAAGCCTACCGACTTCCCTCCAGCAGACACAGAAGATAAAGTTCCCGGGATGTTGTATGATTTGCTGCAGAAAGAAGTTGTTGCTTTAAGGAAAGCGGGTCATGAGAAAGATCAAAGCCTCAAAGATAAAGATGATGCTATTGAGGTTTCACTCTTTCCTTGTCTTTGGATTAATAGTCTGATGATTCGGTTCTGGTTAAAATCCTCCACTGACGCATGTGTTTTATGATGCTCTAGATGCTAGCAAAGAAGGTAGAAACATTAACCAAAGCTATGGAGGTTGAGGCAAAGAAGATGAGAAGAGAAGTAGCTGCAATGGAGAAGGAGGTTGCTGCTATGCGAGTAGACAAAGAACACGAAAATAGAGCAAAGCGGTTCAGTCACTCGAAAAGCACCGTCTCTGCAGCTCAGGTGCTTCCTGTAAGGTACTTACACATAAGCATTCACGACTCTGTTTAATGTTTCCTCAAATTGTCTTGGCTGTGATTCTTGAACTTTTTAATTTCAGTTCTAGCCTTCTAGGTGACCTCTTAGAGTTACTAACACTAGTTTTTCTGTGCACGACAGAAGCATGGGAAGCATGGGGCGTGGCGGGTTAACACGCAGCACTCAGTGACCTACAGAAGTTAAGTCTCAGCTTTGCCAAATCAGCAAAGAAGTGGGAAGAAAACGTCTTCATAGGTTCCGTGTTCTTCCCCTCCTCGGTTCTTTACATACATTGTTCGCTCTTCTCTTGGTACTGCAACTGTGATTGAGATGGTAACTCATATGGTTGCAACCCGATATCCTCACTGCCTAGGGAGGATGATGACATCGTTTCGAAAGTATCGGTTTGCTGCTTCTGACATAGAAACTACTTGTATTTCCCTCCTCATGCGTTAGATTATAAGATATATCATCTGAGCACAAAAGCAAGGTAGCAAGAAAAAAAAAAAGGAGGTCTGTTGGTTCAAAAAAGACAGACGTTAGACTTTTGGGGTAAAGGCTAACCAACCTCTTTTCGTGGTCAGTTTGTGTTGTGTGGTTTGGTTGTATAGGTGTAGCGAGAGCGCCATTGCCTTTCAATTTTTCTCCCTCCCCCCTTGCCTAAATCACCCGCCTACCATTTTGCAGTGTTCGTTCCTTTCCCTCTCAGTGTTTACTTACTACTTGGCAGTAGTGTGGTTGTCTTTATTTCATCAGGGTTTGTTAATATTTTTGTAATTCAATATTATTATTATTACTATTAGTATTATGATCATGATCCAAAGGTACATCTCCTTTGTGCTTTGTGTTTTACCATCGTTGCCTTTCTCTTTACTTCTCTGCTGAGTTTTGTGGAAGAATCGATGCCCATGTGCATGTGCCTGAAATTTTACGGTATATGATGCTTACATTACCACACCAATCCCACTCCACTTGCGTGCTGTGTTGGGTGGGTGGGATTTTGCTTTGGGAACCAGATTTCAATCTCGCCTTTTTTTTTTCTTCTTCTTTCTTTTCCCCTGATGCACTCTCCTTTATCTTGGTCTTTCATCACATGCATGATAGGAAGTGACAGTGATTCGTGTTCTGACAGAGTAACGGGGAAGTAGTAGAAGGAAGATGGGTCATTTTCATCGGGTGGTAGTATAGTGATGAGAAAGAGAAGCATCTTCCTGAGAATTGAATTAGGGAAAAGCAAGAGATGTTTATTGAGATTTTTAGGTGCCCGACCAAGGAAGCAAATAAAAAAGGATTGGAAAGCTGATCACGATTTTGCCTGAAATGGAATAGTGGAGTTAGATGTTCGGGAGCAATGCTTATAAAACTCGAAAGCGTGATTCTATCTATCCAGAAGTGTTTTTGATGATTTAGCAATGTGTAAAAGCAGAAATTGTCAAATTTCAAACCGTAATTTTGACTATAGTAGTTAGGAAAAATTGCAATTCTAGATAGAAGTATTGTTGACCTAAAAACATAAAAGACGGAAGTTTTAAAAACTTAAAATCGCGATTTTGACGGTATTGTTTAGAAGGGTATAATATAAGCATAAAAAAACTTTCGTTCTGATTGCACCCACCCACACTCAATGAGTGTTGTTTGGAAAGAGGTGCTTTCATGGGACATGTCGTCTGCAGCTGCCCTGCCCTGCCGCCACGACATATTTTTGGAACTCTTTAACTGAGACGAGGGGGCCAAGCAAAGCAAAGCAAAGCAAAGCAAGGCGGCAGGGGAGAAAGTGTCTATATCATTGTGATTTGTTTGTTTAACCCGGTTGGTTAGGTTAAGTGGGGGCTTGTGTTGTTGAGTAAAGGTCGGTTCTTTGGAGGTAGCTTTATAAAAAAACATGGCGATGAAAGGAAGGAAGAAACCCACTTCTTCTCTAACTTCATTGATTACTACACATGGATACAGTGAGAGGAGACTGAGCAAAAGTTGAGATGGTGTCGTGGTTTGTATTTTACGTCGCCATTTCTACAATAGATGCACAATCCTCAGACAATTGGGTCCATGTGTGCTATGAGGTTGGGTTGGGTGGATGCAAAGTGCAAAGTGCAATTCCATTACCATTTTCCAGCATGTGACGTGATGCTATGCGTAAAGAGAGTGGAGGTTAGATTTTGATTACACGTGAACGGTGGAGCATTCTGTACTCACTGGGCCTTGTCTCAGAAGGTCCATATGCCCCCCTTTTTTTGTTAGTGAACCAGCTGTGAGTGTATAGGTGTCCAAGCAATGAAATGAATTGGATTAGTTTGATATTCATGTGGATGAGACTGAATTGGAATTGCCACCTCCAAAGAGTTATCATGCTTTTCACCAAATTTTTGAAGTCTCAAATTTACTAATCATAAAAAAATACCTTAATCAAACCGAATAAGCATCACAATCAAGGTCGATAGGTTATTTTTTTCGCTAAGAGTTAAGACAACATTACTACTAAAATCATATTCATAAAACACCAATGAGCAACGAACTAATAATCCCTGGATACCAGTTCCAAAGAACTAAACAAAATGGAAGATTTCGGAGCCGGTAATATTACACAACTTGAATACCTCACCAATCGAAGAACAACAACTCAACCAAAGTGGCAAACAAGCCTTCAAGTAAATGCGAAAAACAGAAGCCACTCTCGCAGAAACTATAGCAGCATCTCTGCAATCTGAATGGCATTCAGGGCAGCTCCCTTACGTATTTGATCCCCACAAACGAAGATGTCCAACCTGCAAAACCCACCCATAAATTGCTTACAGAGGCCCGGGGAGCAAAGAAAGAAATCACAAGACTTGTGCACTTCAACGAATGACCTCCTACTACAACAGAAAAGCAGTTAGTTACAAGGTTTCTTACCCGTGATTCCCTTCTTGAGACAGATCTTGCCGGATTCTGCCAACTGCGACGTCGTCTTTGTTCGATACTTCCAGGGGCGTTGGGAAATGGTTGGATGCACGGTCGTCGATCACCACCACACCTGCTGCATTCTTCAGAATCTCCCTGGCTGTATCCTGTACCAAAACATAATTGGGTTTGTTAGGACCTCTCACATCCATTTTGCAAAAAGCAAGTTGTTCGCTTATCCTATTTCAGTAGGCAGTGTGCAAGCTCGATACAGCGTACTTGTGAATTGATGTATTTCAAAAACATTGTTCGGTTCAATGCATATCTGCATAAAATTGTAACTGTAATTTCAAATGCTTCATAGTCCTTAGTGTTTGAAACTGCAATGCAATGTTTTGATGTATTCGAGATTGCACGTCAAATGCACTCATATACATGAAGAAATGTCAATGAAAAACAACAGATTGTTCAATTGCAAGTTAATACACCCAACCAAATGAATAGTTACTAACACTTTGATTCTCAAATAACTAAGACATGGTTACGAGTAATTCCAAGGAATGCTAGGATCAATGAAGCTTCCTACGCAGTATGAAGTTCATTCTTCAATTCAATAGGCTATCTCCCTAGTTAAGAAAAAACACACGATCCATACACGATGGGGATGCTGAACTCATTAGGAAGAGAAGCTTAGTCCTTCTTATAAGTATGCAGTTAGTGTGAGGGAAGATGACCCCTCCCGGCTAGAAAAGTAAAAGAGAGAAGAAAAGGCTGCCTTCGACATGGCCACTGTAGCGATAAAACAGATGAGCTAGAGCAAAAACCATGAGAAGACGAGATTGGGTGTGAATTTATGACCTGGTTGCAGACTCGATTCTAAACTGACAGGTAACATTCGGGAGCAGTAATATCAACGAATGAAATCATGAGATATGAGATGTTAGACAACTGGCCAAGTGCTGGAAACTGATTAATGAAAATTTCAAGTACAGGATTTGACTGGTAACCACAGGTTATTGACAGAAAGGGGAGTTTCTCCAAACTAGAGTGGACAAAGAATTGACCTAAATGGTGAGATAAAATGGCGAAGGAGAAAGACATATTCCCTACGTCATTAGTTGTTTTTCTAATGTGCTTTTCCCATAATAATCCATGAGGAAAAAAGGACTAAAAAATCCTTTCATTCACTGAAATAAGCAGCTCTTCTAAATTAAGAATTAACACAACTTCGTCAGAATACGCAAATGGAACTAGTCCAGAGTCGTACTGCAGAATGTCAACTGATAAATAGGCACTTGCTAGGGTAAACAAAAAGAGAAACAGAACCAAGCTGTTCCCTTCTACAACTTCCACAGAATTTTAACAATCAACGAGGAAGGCGAGAAAAAAACAAAACAAGTCAAATAGAAATTGAAATTCGCACAAAAGTTGACAAGGTGTGCTGGTAGATCATAACTTTCTACAGCTCTAGTAGAAAATGAAGCTCACTGGTTGATACAGCAAGGCTCAAGAAGTCAGTTGTCCTGATTCTGGCAAGAGTGCAATCAGGCCGAGAAGGAGAAAACTTTAACAATTTCAAATTGAAGTATGCACTAGTAGAGAAATCATGAACGAAAAGGAATTCACAGCTACTATGTCCACAAAAGATGTTAGGCACCTCCATGTTAGAGAGAACCTTCACCAAGACAACAAAACACCATAGAAAGTGAAACACGACTAATGTGTTTATTATACAAGGGTTCCAATCGAAATATTAAAATAGATGAAATTTGAAAATATTTACCTCATCAAGTGGCTTCTCGAACTGGAGATTGACACTCTCAGCATGTGCGCGCATGACGGGGACTCTTATACAGGTAGCAGTGACCTTCACATCCAAGTCGCTCTGTAAATATCAAAACAGACAGGAAGAGACAGATACATTAGACCAGAGAAACACGTAAAACAAGTTCAGAAATAACAGGAGATTAACAGGTCTGTTTCCCAACCGGAATTCCCAAGTAACCCATCATATGGTAATCCAGATGGGAGAATCCACAAAGTTAAATGACCAAAGCTTACCCAGATTTTCCTGGTCTCTTTTACTAATTTCATTTCTTCTTCATTGTATCCATTCGGTTGAACTGGTGCATTATGTGAAAACAAATTAAAAGCATACTGCACGCATCCAGCAAAAACCATTTCATCAGCTTCACTTGTAAAACAAGAAAACACGATAAAGAAAGAGCACAAATAGGATAATAATGCATCACCAAAGGGACAAACCTGTTGGCTAAATATGTTACAGGTTGGCGGCTTTCCTTCCAACACCTTTACAGAAGACAAAGAAAGCAGCAAAGTTCATAAAAGACGGTAGAGTATTGAATGAACATTGCAGATTGTCAAGAATAAAAACATGGACCAATATAAACAAGGATGAATAGGATAAAGAAGAAAACCTCACGAGTCTGGAGTTCAAGCTCTTCCATGGCAGCAGCACCAGCACCACTGGCTGCCTGATATGTACTAACAACCATGCGTAGCACCTGCAACCCAAATGCCCATGAAACGATTCATAATTACAAACACTCAAACTCAGAGCTACAAGTCCGAGATCAGGTCACTTCATTTCATATTTACAAAAACTCAAGCAAGGCACACAAAATACTGGCATAGATCAAACAAAACAAAACAAAAAAAAAAAAAAACCCATCAGAAATAGAAGATTCCCCCACAGTCTGAAACTCTAACTTGACAGAACAGAAGATGAATTTCTCACCTTGGCACGCTGATGCAACGGAGTGGCAGCCATCAAACAAATAATGGTAGAGCAATTGGGGTTAGCAATCAAAGCCCCTTTCCCCATCCCAACCTTAATCCCATGCATTGCCTGGGGATTGACCTCAGGAATCACCAAAGGAACCCCATCCACCATCCTAAACGCGGAGCTGTTATCCACCACAATGGTACCCTTCTCCACCGCCGCCGGCCCAAACTGCTTGCTAATAGACCCACCGGCGCTGAACAGGGCGATGTCGACCCCGTCAAAGCTATCAGCGGTCAGCTCCTCCACCGTGTAGTTCCTGCCCTCGAAAGTCATCTGCTTCCCAGCGGAGCGCTTGGAAGCAAGCATTTTGATTGAGCGGTAAGGGAAATCCCTATCCGTGAGGACGGAGAGGAACTCCTGTCCGACTGCGCCGGTGACTCCAACTACGGCGACGGAAGGACCGTTTTCTTGAAGGGACATGCGGACTGTGAAGGGGGAAAGGAGCTTTCTTGTGGGTTTGGCGACGGGGGAGGTGGAGAAGAGGCGGCCGTGGGCGTGGGGCTGAGTGAAAGTCGCCGCCATTGTTTTGAGTTCTTCTTCTTTTGGAGGAAGACTCTGAGAAAAGAAGAAGGACGGTGAAGAGGACAGAGAAGAGCGGCGGAGAGACTGGCGTGGGTAATTTTCCGTGGCGAAGAAGGGTTTAGTAATGGAGTCGAGGATTGAGAACTGGGAAGAGGGTTTAAGAGCTGAATAAGTAAATTAAACGTTAAAATACAATATCATAAATGTCGGATTATTTGTGTATTTTCTTGACAAAGAAACCAGTTGATTTTGACAAAGAGTGGTTTTATTTATTTTTTATTTTTCCTATATAAATCGCGTTAATATATTGAAAACGATAGAATTATTTTGACTATGTGCTATATTATGTTGTATCGTTTCAATCCAAATATTTGTAACAACAAGTTTTATTGACAGCGTTATTTTGACTTGTACGTAGTAATGTCCAATTGCCGGACTAGATTATTGAGGAAGAGATTTTGTCATCAACTTTACATGATCGGTTAGAACTTTTAAGTTCTAACTACGCAATAAATTGACATTGAATCCGAAGTTTAGTTATGGTGCTTTAAATTTTCAACAATGTGTTACTGCTGTAGAGTTATTGTTTGACATTTTATTGCTCTCGTTGAAGTTTTAATGCATAGTCTGCCTTGTTTTAGTAGTTTGTATGTTCAAAATGAAATGAAGAACACAAGAAGGGACTT